GTCGTATAAACGATGCTCCACTGTATATGCTAAAATTTTCTTGCATATTTTTTTTTACATTTTTATTAATATGGATTTTAGTTTACAAATTTGTTTATCGAACTTTATCTGCAATACAGACATACTGCCGCTATTGCAGTTGATATCGATAATACCATTATGATTAGTTCGATCGATAACTATGTAAACACTTCACGTCAACAATATAACAATAAACCAGCAAAGAAAACAGTGAAATTGATAGTGAGATTAATTACAAGAAATATTTATACTACAAATAGCTTTATTAAATCATAAGATTCTGCAAAATAATTTATTACCAAAAAATATTATATTTTTATTTGTATCTTCATAATTTTGTGCGAAATACACTTGTGGTTTTTAAAGCTAAATTATTTTTGTCAACAAATTTTTTTCCCTCAAGTTTTTTGTAGGCTCTAGGCACGTGCCTAGTGTGCTTATAGGTTAATCCGGCCCTGCCTTAGGGTTAACATGTTTTCTGAATCATAACTCTACTTTTTAAACTATTTAACTCCATATAGTTACAGGGTGGCCACTGGAATCAGATTTCAAATTTCCCTGATTTTTCCAGATAAAAATCTTAAAATTTCCAGGTTTTTGTTTCTTTTTTCTTATAAAGTATAGGATGTGTACAAGAAAAGTGTCTATATTATAAAATATTTTATTCAAAATGTTACTTTTTTAACATATCATACTTGTAAAAAATAATTTATTTTGACAATTTTCAAGATTTTTTAATGTTTTGGTACAAAATTTTGAATCAAAAATCATATATTGACCAACAAAGGAGCCTTTTTTTAAAATTAAAATATGTTATAAGAGGTTAAAATGAAATAGAAAAAATTGTCATTAATGCAACAATTTGTCGACAAATATTGCTGTTAGCGATTGTAAAAAAATGTGTGATTCGTTGGTTTGCTCAGAAAAAATAATTCACAGATTTCTTTGAATGGGAGTAGAAAAAGAAAAAGAGTGCGATATAAAGTCTATTATCATAAAATTTAACCAACTAATTTTTGGAGAATTTTATAAAGTTAAAAATACAAAAACATTTTGTCAAAATCGAGAAAAAAAATAACCACCAAAGCATTGGAACACACTACTTGAGCCATAAATGGATTCAGCCCAATAGGTTTTACAGGTGGGTGGCCACCCTGTTTAACTACATTAGATGAGAGTAACACAAAAATATATTTACATAGTTTTTATTTATAAATGTATAAAATCAACATCTATACATACAATTGTCAACTTATAACAGCATTATCATCTCTTTTGATTACATTTTTAGTGTCTGAATCACAATCTAACAGTTCATCTGATATTTCATTATTCTCCGCCTCTTCAAGCATTTCTTCATCCACATTTTCTCCACTCTCATCCTTAATTTTAAATTTCTTTTTCTCTCTCATTTCTGGAAAAGAAAAATACATATTCAGTGGCAACAATACACATGAGCAATAAGATCTAGCAATTGTTGTGGATTAAAAACAATCAATATGCTATGTTTTTTTGTTTTTGTTTTTTAAATTTTATAAATTTTTCTGCATAATTTTATTACATAGTGTTCCCTTTTAAATATGAAGTTTGAAAAAAATGCATATTAAGGATGGAAAATAAATATTTAGCAAAAATTAAACGAAATCTGTTGAGTCACAACTGAGAAAGGCAGGTTTGCAAAACATGAAAATGGGTTAAGGTTGCCCGATGAAACTTGATGTTTTAGGTAAGGTTAACCAAAGTTCATGAGTTATAATACATTAGTTTTATTCAATGCAACAATACCCAAAAATATGTTTGTTTTAATTGTGCTGATTACTTTTTAATGTGTTTTATTGTTTTGTTTGATTTGAATCTTAAATTTAGCCAAGAAACTTTACAGTATTAATTATCTAAAAAACAATTTTAACTGAAGTTCTTAAAATTATACAGGGTGTACTATAGCCATAATGTGTGTCCTTCATATAGATATTTAGAATCCTTCCCAAAAATGAAGTAAGAAAAGGTTTACACATTTGGAATCAATATTGAAGAGAGAGAGAAATCTATATTTTAAAGAAAAAATTAATTACTACTGATGAAAGCAGAAATGAAAACATCATAATCTTTTTGTTTGCCAAAGTAAAACTTTAATTATAAACATCATAGAAAACAAACTAACCAATAGATTTTGCTCATCAAGTATATAGTAAAAGTAACCATAAAATTATTAGATGATTAAAATGTAATTTTTTCTCAGTTGCTATAAAAATACAGATTTTGGAAAATACATCAGATGCTATAAACTTAAACCATTACAAAAGCTAGAATTGTATTTCATGTGTCTACTAAAGTCTTTTTACAAAAAAAGTTTTCAATTGTTTAATATTGTCAATATATTTTATTTTTTTCCCCTTGAAATCTTTTTATTTTAATATATTTTTTTTTTTTCGAAAAATTCTTACATAAATTCCAGATTTTAGCATTTAATAATATTTTTATTTATTTTGTCTAATATCTGTAGACATAGAAAAACTGCAACAAAAAAAATCACAAAGCAAAGTATAACAAGTGTGAATATGAATACGAAAAAAAAATTTATTTATTAACGTTTAAGTTGAGTATTTTTTTTAGGAAACAAAATTTGTTACTAATACAGCACCAAATAAATGAGGTGAATGGTATTGGTTAAAACCTGAAATACACTTGAGAAAGGCTAAACTAGTCTAGTAACTTGCTTCTGCAAAACATGGTTAAAAAAAATTTTTCCTTGTCAAAAGACTTTGTGGGGCAAACCCCTGAATCATAAGTTGTACAAGTCTGGCTCAGGCAATGTCAAACTTACCATATTCAGATACATCAACTCCACATATTCTTAGATAGTGTGCTCGGCCTACTTTAGGAACATAACACCGGAGAGTCTGATTTCCTTTCCAACCACATAGCTCAACT